CTCTTCTTCATGCATTTTCATATGAAATATAAGTCTCCACAACAATGTCATCTGAGAAAATTCTTCGAAACACAGTTACTCTTCGTATATACAGCGTTTTCTATTTTTTGTGATGACTCTTCTGATGAAAATGTTAATGAAACGTTCATGGATATATCTTGTTTGCTGCCCGATTCAAAAATAACACATGATTATATTGCAAAAAAACTTGGCATAGAGTACTCGTTTTTAAGTTTCTTGGTCACTAAGACCGATTTGCGAAAACAAAGCCAAGCATTATTTCACTGCATTATTTCCATACCATCTAGGTTCCCACACATGCTCAGATTACGAGTTTATCTAGTTTTATATTCCATCTCCTACAGTCCAAGGGTCAGAATACTGTTTATTTGAGAAGCAAGCATGCATTTTAGCCATGTAAAAGCTTAATGAATAGTCTAGGTATCCGAATTGGATGAATCTTTGCTGAGCTTTCCTCCGTCATGTGACGGACATCGTCAGAGCAGGACACCATGCTTAGCGATAATTCACCAAAAACACGAAGGCAAAAAAGGTGGCCAGCTTCAGACCTACCTACTTCCTATAGTCCAATTTGGTTCACTAAGGCATCTCATGTTTTGGTTGGATATCTTATGCTTTGCCTAAATGTTTGCTCAGAAGTTGAGGTAAGTGGTTGTGGATGACATGTGAAGTGGCTGCGGATGACTTGTTTTTATTTCTTTTGTCTCTACTGCTTGCTTGTGTTCTTTATCGATTGTTCTCATGTTCTCATATATATCATTTTACCTTGCCTTAGCTTCAGAGCGTATATAGCCAAGTGGCCAGTGGCGCCGCCCATCCCATTGAACAGTTGGCCTCCGCCTTCGAGTCAGTTGACACACATGCATCAAACTATGTCTCAGAGTTTGTCACCGAACTCGTCCTCCGCGTACTCGACAACCAGCCACGCCTCCCAGCCAGCCTTAAGCGACGTGCATTAGAGCGACTCAAAGGGTACCACAACACACTTAACCATTGCTATTTACTATTTTAAATATAACATTATGGCTGTAAGGTAGTGAAAGGATGATTAGGACGATGAGTTACTTACTTTTAGGGCATTTTTCAATTATGACGATGAGTTAAATAAACATAAGCTTTGTTAAAGTATTATGGAATTGTTCTGATCTTGTTTTTTTGCAACTCAGTCGTGTTGTCAGGGCTACCTAGTTGAACGCACCTTGTCCGAAGTCGGGTGACCACGTAGGGAAAAATAACACATCACAAGTTTATCCATGCAACATAGGATGATGGTCAGATAAGATTGTTCGGAATTTTGCTTAATAGCATATGGCATCTTCAAATAGGAGTATATTGGAGAAAAAGAAAGAAAAAATCAGCAGACAACTCAATCAGGGAACATCAAAGGTTCTGCAAGAAAATGTATATCGAGAGATCAGAAAGGAATACATTGCACGAGCTGGACAAGAGATAAAAAGGAAGGAAGCAGAAAGAAGGGCCTCATACTGTGAAAACTCAAGGAAACTGGATATTAGGGAGGCCAATGATATCTATGGGTAAATAAATTTAATTGGCATGATTAGGAGTAGGTAGAATCAACGACAATTGGGCCTATAGCGCATGGAGTCAAACTTATACTGGAACTCCAACCGAGTGAAATCAGTAAACCAGAACAATAAATAACGAATCCACAGGTTCATAAAGGAAGTCAGAATCGGATCAGCAAATCGAGAGGGAATTGGACAAGGTAAACAGGATTGGTGATGCCACACTAAACTCGTTAAAGAAAGAATATACCTATAGACAAATCGAATACAAACAAGTTAGAAGTTCTGATAGGATGGGAGTGAGATAAGAAGGTAGGGACTAGGTAGATGTGCCAGGGTATAAAGAGAAGTGATGGCATACCAGTGAGGGATTTGCTTCACTTATCTCTTTGACGAATTGTAGCTTGGTGCTGAGAATGGCAAGACTCACTGACGATGACGATTACGATGCTGGCGAATGTACGGTCCATGGTCAAGCGCTGGGAACTATTATATCTACCAGAATAGGGGACTTTGGACAAGGTGCATTCAACTAGGCTGCCAAGTTGCGAAAACTGGGTCAGATCAAGTCTATGCCTCGAAAGAAGACTGCGACCAAAATAGAGGACACAACGTTTTGGTCTTCATAGCTACGTTTAAATTGAGAATTTATTATCTTTATCTTTTTGAACCCATACTTATTACCTCAAGAAGTACAATTAAGTTGTTTTAAGCCTAACTTTTAAATGCATGAAGCAGAATTTGCCATCAACTACCTCTATATGGTATTAAGACCAAGGTGTTGTGGCCTTTTGTGTGTGTTTGACCTTATTTTCGCAGCTTGGTTATATTAGTAGGAAGAATCAGTTGAACGCACCTAGTCCAGAGTCCATAGTTTGCATGACAATTTCCAGAGTCGGACCGTGGACGTGGCACCTTCCAAGACGTTTCGCCAGCATCGCCATTGAGTCTTGTCATTCTTAACATCATACTACAGCTCGTCAAAGAGGCCCGTGAAGTCGATCCTTTGACCAATTGTCTGCTAAGCAAGCGTTGTATCTATCCTTCCGCCCTGGACTAATCCCGAATCCTATATCCTCTCATCACGCTTTCACTATGAGGGGGCGAGAAAGCCAGCGTGGAGTGTGGAGAGTTCTCATCAAAGCTGCTCAAAAGAGCACACTATATCACATTTAAATAAGCAAGTAAAAATTGTGGTAGTGAATGCGTAATACGAGGATATAGGATTGGTACTTAGCCCAGGGCGGAAGGACTCGCTGGTGGTTCCGGCTAAACGTCTGGGAATGTACGTCCATGGTCCGACTAGAAATTATCATGCATACTATAGACTCTGGATTAGGTGCCTTCATCTAAGCCTTCCTACCTATATGACCAAGTTGCGAATACAAGGTCAAACAACTTCTATACCTTTATATTTTTTTACTGGGTTATTATTTTTGTACATATGTTAAATTTATTCATCGTATACAGGTTTTTGTTCTGTATATTTCAATAAGAGTTCCTCGAAATCCGACTCAGAACGAATAAAAGTATATTCTCGCTATTTGCTGAAACCATATATATCAAAAACTGTAGAGATCATTAGAATTCCTTCCACAAAGTGTACTAAATCTACATAAAGGATTAGAAGTCAGGATAGTTAAGTTCACAGCAAAGAAATAAATACAAGACCCTGCAATGCTAGTGATTTTTTCCTTATGATTGAATTAAATTGAGTTTCTACTACGGTCTTAAACAGCTATAGGTGACTAGTGCTTGTAAAAATACCTATAAATTCTTTTATAGTCAAAATTCAAATCTCTTAAGGGCCCGTATTTTAATTATATTATTTCGGACCATTTTTCATATTTAAGTAGTTTCGAGACTACCAGTAAGC